GGGGTGGGTGGTGGGTGGTGGTGGCGGAAGACGGTGGTGGAAAATGGTGGCGGGTGGTAGCTAGTGTTGGGTGGTAAAAAAAAAAAAACTCAAAACTCAAAACGGAAACACATTTTTTGTGTTTTCATTTTTTGGCCAAATTTATAAAGTGAGACCACTAATTTATAATTCAAAAATTTTACCAAACAAGTTTTTATTTGAGTTTTTTAAATTTTTGTAAATATAAATAGAAAACTGAAAACGTAAGTGTTACCAAACAGCACCTGCATAAAACTAAAATTAAGAATATTTTTAAACTTATTGTTGTTTCAATCACTTATTTTCAAACTTATAAACTTTAAAATTGAGAATATTTTCAATTTTATACAGATCACTCAATTTTCAAACAACAATATTATCACAACAATTTATTTGCTGCCTCACAATATTATGACAATTTGAAAAACTAAAATTCGAAACAAAGAATATTTTCACTTACAGTCCACTGTTACTTTAATCAAAACATAAAGCATTGACCACATTTATTTAGAATATTAATTCACATTCATTCAATTGATCACATTTATAACTAGTTCCAATTTATAACAAAAGCCTCACACTATTATCACAAAATCAACTATTTTGAACTAAAAACTTAAACTGAGAATATGTTCACTTTTTATACAGTATTCACATAATCTGCAAGACAAACATTCAACAGTCAAGTTTATTTTCGAAAAGCTAACCAAACAATATTATCACAACATTTATTTGCTGCCTCACAATATTATGACAATTTGAAAAACTAAAATTTGAAACAAAGAATATTTTCACTTACAGTCCACCATTACTTTAATCAAAACATAAAGCATTGACCACATCTATTTAGAATATTAATTCACATTCATTCAATTCATCACATTTATAACTAGTTCCAATTGATAACAAGAGCCTCACACTATTATCACAAAATCAGCTATTTTGAACTAAAAACTTAAACTGAGAATATGTTCACTTTTTATATAATATTCACAGAATCTGCAAAACAAACATTCAACAATCAAGTTTATTTCCGAAAGCCAACCAAACAATATTATCACAAACAATTTCAAAAATTAAAATTTGAAACTAAGAATATTTTCACTTTCAATTCAATGTCACTTTATTCAAAAACATAGAAGATTATTACTCAGTGCTCAATAGCACAAACTGCTACTTCAAGAAATTTATGAATACGAAATTTTTACAATCACAAAGCAACTAAAAAAAATCACAAAGCCTCGTTACACGATTTCTTATTGTGATTGTCAACCTTCCCACATCTACTACAAGTAATTTGTCTCACTTTCTCACCATTTGAACGAATCCTTTTCTTATTTGGCCTTCCTGGTTGCTTCTTAGACAAAGGAGGAAGAACAACTTCATTATCACCATCAACATTACAATCTGGTTTCCAAATTGAAGGAACAGGATATATGGAAAAAGAGTAGGACTCTCGATAACTTTGAACATAGAAGTATTGATCAACAAATAAACTCAAATCATGTCCACTCTTTTGTATAACACCAATTGCATGTGCATATGGAAACCCTTTCAACTGTCACTCGCCACAAGAACATATTCGTCTACTAATGTCAACTGAAACAGATGGATGTGAATGCACCTCATAGACATCATTTCCAGATGAACTAACAATCCATGGCCTCGAAGTATTAAAACCATCATGCAACTTGGTCTCTATTTTAGGGCAAATCAAACCATTCCATTTATTAACAAGTTCCCTCCTCTTAGCAATTTTCCTCATCAACTTAATTCTTACACTATCAATCAACTTTGTGATAGGCAACTGGCGTTCCTCTCGTATCCACGAATTGAAAAATTCAGCTGCATTTGGCCACATCTCTCCAAAGCGTTGCCCTCGAAAATATGCATTACTCCAATGATCATATGGTATGTCATCTAAAAACTTTTCAACTCTTGACCCACCTTCAGTCTTCAACTCAACCAAACATTGATGAAATGTTTCTTCAGTTGGAGCATATGCACATTTCCCAAACAAAGTGATCAGCTTTTCTTTCAATCCATGAAACATACCACGCAAATGATGCCTCAAGTTCATCTTCAAATGATACAAACAATAAGTATGGAAAGCCATTGGGAAAACCTTTGGCCACACTTCAACTAATCCAAGGTTACGATCTGACACAAATATAATATTTCGTTCTGGTGAAACAATTCTACTCAAATGCTTCAAAAATCAAGATAATTGTGTCGATTCTCTGAGCCAACAACTGCAAAACAAACAGGAAAGAACCCTGCATGTACAAAACAGAAAAAATAAAAATATTATATTATTCTTAGAAAATGGTAACACTCCAACATTCAAAATATCAAACACTAAAATGAATAACTGAAAAAATAAAAAATGCATATACAACAACAATATTATATAAAATTTAAAACATTTAATCATATTTCTAAACTGAGAACTTTCTCAATTTCAGAACAGAGAAAACAAATTCTTATGTACCTTGATTTCCATCTTTTCCTGTAGCAGCAAGTAAATTTCATCTAAATCTTCCCTTCAAAAATGTGCCATCAAGGAATAAGAGAGGTCAACAATAATCAAATCCACTAATAGAACCATGAAAAGAAACAAATAATCTCTTAAACCATTTAGTATCCTCGTCACACTCAAACTCAATGTAACTCCCTGGATTGCAACTCTTTACAACATCCACATACCATCTTAACTGGTCAAATGACATTCAGTAGTCTCCAAAAATCTCACCTTTTGCTTTCTCTACCTCCAACCAAGCTTGACGATAACTAACTTTCAGCCTATACCCCAACTTAAAATCCTGAACAGCATGAATTGGACGTGTCAATGGATTATCACGAACACCTTCAACAATCAAATCAGTAACTAAATCAGAACTCATACGAGAATGAGTCATCGTACGTACTTCAGCACCACATGTGTGGACATTGTTCAACTTCCTTATATAAAAGAACCCATTAGCATTCTCCACTCTACCATGAACATTCCACATACAACCTTTTGTCTCTCTAAACAAACATTGTGCAGTAACACGAACTTTATCATTCTTAACAAATATGAACTCAAATCCATACTCAATAGAAAACTTTGACAATGCATTACGAAATTCAACAATTCTACCTTTAAATTTCTGTCCTACATGTGTAATACTAACTGCCCAACCAGCAGACAACAGTACTTTTCCCTTGTGTCGACAAAATGATGATAATATATCAACCTCTTCTTCAACCTCCAACCTCGAATTCCTTTTGACAACTAGTATCTACACATTAGGTCCATAACACATATACCCTTAAGCCTATTAACTAAATTGAATCACTTAAATTGTAGGCTTCTTATAAATGATAACACCACATTTAATTATGTGGTCCAATTGAGACATTATCTAACATCTTTTACTCGCACAATAACATCAATACACTTTAAATCAAAATGCACAACTAATGCCAACAACAAATCTAACTCCTCATTGTTGTCTAACGTACAATTAGGATGTCCAGGCAATGAGTAAGATAGACAAATATTATCAGATTGCAAATTATCTCATTTCAAACATAACTTCTCAACCAACTAATCATATGTCACATTTTGATCAATCTTAATTGCAAATGTGCAACCATTATACTTGCACAACAAAAAAAAAGGCGCACTTGTACAACCTTCACTCATCTTTCAATCCAAACAAGAAAAAAAGATCGCATCAATTCAAACCAGAAAAATACTAAGAACTTTTTCAGTTTTCACAAATACTTCATAACAATAAACATCAGAACAAAAAACTTCATAACAATACAAATACTTCACAAATCACATTTTCAATTCATAAAATAAATAACCAAATCGAGAAATCATCCAGAAAATCACGTCTTCAATTCGTAAAAACAAAATTATTCAATATATTCTCATAAATAAATTCAATCAAAACTAAAGAAAATTCTAAAAAAACATAATATACAAAATCGAAACAATACATACCTATAAACCAGATCGAAGATCAAATATCCAGCAAATCAATTCTTCAATTTATAAATCGAAATCGCACATAACAAACTCCAGCATATTTCAACTCAAAATGCGAACCAAAGCAAAGCAAAATCGATCTGGATATTGCTATCGATCCTTTCCTATTCGAATCAAAATCGAGAAATCAATTACGTATAATAGCGAACCAAAGCAATAAATCCTTCAAGATCGATCACGATTCGAATCTTCAACTGCTTCCATAACTGATCTGTTAACTGATTCCTTTTTTCTTTCTAATAAATAACGTGAATGGAATTTTATATACAGTTATTTATGTTAAAGGGCAAAAACGTCTTTTTACCTCTAAATGGGACTTATTGGTTCAAAAACTTTTTGATAGGACCTAAGCTACCACCAAATATATAGATAGGACTTTTAGGTAATTATCTCAAAAATAAAAAGATAAAATATCACATTAAAATTATAATCATTTTATTTTATTCTTATAAAAGTGAAAAAAGTAAAAAAATCTATCACAAACGACTTTTTTTAGCATCAGGTAAAATAATTAAAAATCCAAAAAACCGATTCACATCCTAAACGAAACCATTATATGATTAATATGAATGTGGAAAAATTAATAAAATATATTTATATAACATTGTGTAAATTTCAAATAAATTTCCTGAGATTTGTTTAAAATATGAATTGTCCCCTGTGGCTTGGAAAATTACAAATATCTTCCTGTAAAATTTTTTTATTTAACAGAATTAATTGAAAAAGTAAAATTTCTAACTGTTCAGCTATACAATAATAAAATTATTTGAATTATTAATTGAAATAAAATTTTAAAATTATAAAAAATTGTTAATTAACTTGACCATTTATTAATAAAAGAACATATTTGTTATGAAATTAGAAACCTTAGGAGACATAATGTAATTTCTATAATTATAGGGGATAATTTGTAATTTAAATAAATCTCAGGAGGTGTGTGTTTGTAATTATTCTATAAAATAATATAAATAGTTAGATTTCTTATGTAAATTATGAAAATAAAAATATATTAAAATCTATAGTTTAAGTTTTATAATTTTATGTATCATAATTTATGTATTATTTTTTAATTTATCACAATTTCAGTTATGTAACTTTTAATTTTCTTACTAGAGTTGTAAATTTGGACAAGTTGAACTCAAGAAACTTGAGTCAAACCTGTAAATTTTTTAAGATTTGGCAACATAATTTTTAATTTGGCGAGAACCTATATAAAATTTGAATAAATTTGAGTGGACTTGGGTAGAGACACCGAATAACCCAAGCAATTGAAACAAAATTGTATATATAAATATATAAAATTATTTGCTAATTAATTTTTAATAATATATAAGATTAATTAAAAATTTAATATTAATGAATAAAAACAAATATACCTTCTACAAAGAGATCATCAAATAAGGTGATATTAAAAGAAAGTACATTTCATAATGGCATAAATAATTTAAATATGATTTTTTTTTGAAAATTACAACAAATATTTAAATATAATAAAATTAAATTGCTTACAAAATAAAAGTATCTGGATTAAAAAAAAGATAAGAAGAAAATTTAGAATGATATTCTAATTTGATCTGAAAATAATTTTAGATGACCAATAAATTATCATCTATAACCCTCATTTTTTTTAAAATAAAAAATATATATATTTCACGAACCATTACTTTTAATAGAATCCATTATATTTGGAAATTGTTAAAAAAGTCATTCACTTTCTTAATGTTTTTGTCTTTTGCTTAAAAAAAAAATATTTGTATTAAAAAAAATTATTGTTTAAGCCTTCGTTTGGGATATGGGTTGATTTTTTTAACTTTTTGACTATTTTGCCTACGGCTAAAAAGTCTCGTTTAAGATGAACTTTTTGGCTTTTTAAAATTTTATGAGAGAAAAAATGAAATGATTATGATTTGAATATGACATTTTGTCTTATTGACTTTTTAGTCTATTTTGTTTTTTTGTGACTATTTTAGCCCAAAAAGTTTATGCCAAACATAGCCTAAGTCCTTGTAATTTAGAATGATATAAAAACATTTATAAAATTTTAAATCAAAAATGACAAAAATTAAAAATATAAACTTTTAATAGTGATTAATAATTTAAATACGTGTATTTAATAATATATTATGTTTAGACCAATAATATTATGACACATCATTATGACGCATGTGAATATTAATCACATTCTAATTATAGTAACATAATTTAAAAAAAAATTAATTTTATAATTTTATTTTATAATTTAATAAAAGATGCATAAATTAAGGAATTAATATTAATCTTATTTTGGTAACTTAATTTAAGGAATAATCTAAATTTAAAATTTTATTTTAAGAATATAAAATTATTTATAGACCAATTATATTGTGACACATATTAATAAAAATTAAACAAAATCAAAAAAAAAAAAGTAAAAAAAATAATTGCAACTTTCAATTTTAATAAGATGACAATATTTTGCAATTATAATAGTATATAGATTTTGTATGAGATTTTAAAATTCTCATAATATCTCTTCCTAAAAGCATTCTTTTGTAAAATATATAAATATATAAATAATCTTAACGTCACTCTTATTGCTCCTTAATACACAAATTATGAACTAATTATGATAATTTTAAATTTGTATTTAAAATTTATAAAATCATGGGATAGATTATTATAATTTTAAATTTATATTGTGTCAATTTTAAATTTAAATTAATAGATTGCTTTACATATTTAGTGACCCTCAAATTTGAATTTAGAAATGAATTAATATACTTTCTATTCTTTTTTTTTCTTTAGATTTGATATACTCTTCATTTGAAAGTCATAAAAGGGATATTATTATTTTTTTAAAAAATAAAAAATTATGAAATTTAGATTGAAAATTTAGAGCTCTTAGAGGCATTGTAGGTTAAAAACTCCATTTTCCTTGTATAATATATACGTTAAATGGTAAAACTTAACCTAATAAGCTTGAGGATATGGGTTTAAGTTTCAGGACAATAACTTTGTATATTATGTTAAAAGTTAAGTGTGTATCTAATTTTTTTCTTTCCCAAATGCATATTAATGTATATTATTTGAGCTTT